CTGAAAGGCTGAAACTTCTTCCTCTCCTTCTTCTTCGTCCTTTCAATTCATCTTTATGATCGTAATCTACCTGATCCTCCTTATTCATCCTAGGATCGATGCTTAAATCTCCCTCCTTGTCTCCTTCAAACCGAAGTCCTCTGCACTTGGTTCCTCTCTGATTTGTGTTTCAGGATACTTTCAACTCTTTGAACAGATCAATTTTGATAGCTTGATGAAAGAAAACCCTCATGTTTCGAAATCACTTGCTACGATCCGGAGGGAAATTAAATTCAAGTTCAAATCCCTTTTGACGGTATGTTTTCATAGCAAACATCACTATAACGTTTCGTAATAATTCATATCGAGCTTTGATGGCGACATCGTGTTTTCATCCACTTCGACTACGAAAGTGGAAGAGGAAAACGTTATTACCGGCGGCTTCTTCTTCTACCTCTTCTTCTTCTTCTTCTTCTTCTTCGTCGTCGTCGTCAAAGAGGCAGTTGAATTGCGATGGTGGGGAGAATTTGGAAAGGAAGAGATTCGACAGCGTGGAATCATGGTCCATGATACTGGAGTCTGAGAATTTGGAGACGTGGGAGGCTTCGAAGGAGGATCAGGAAGAATGGACCGCCGATCTTTCTCAGCTTTTTATAGGAAACAGGTTCGCTTCCGGCGCTCACAGTCGGATTTATCGCGGCATTTACAAGCAGAGAGCCGTGGCTGTGAAAATGGTTAGAATTCCGACTGAGAATGATGACAAAAGGACTTTACTGGAGCAGCAATTTAAATCCGAAGTTGCTTTACTTTCACGTCTCCTTCATCCTAATATAGTGCAGGTAATGTTTTTTTCCATTCCAATTGGAAACTAATTATGGGAAGCCTTCTTGTTTTCTTCTCCTCATGGATTGTTTACTAAAATTTGGCATGCTCTTTTTGACATATCAGAATTCTAAAAACATGCTAGAAAGCACAAATTGGTACGGTATTGATTTTGGAACCGTTTGAAATAGTTTCTAAGTAATTTTTCAATCGTAATTTACGGAATACGAAATAAATATGTAAGAAAATTTTGATTTTAGTTTACATAAAACGTGCTTATAAATATTTTTTATCGCTATAACAAACAGGCCCTCTACAGGGCAGACCTCCAATCATAACACACAGTGGGCTGTTAGAATTGCAAGATTACTGCTGTTTGCTTGTCTAATAGTGAATTATGTGAGAGAGAGAGAGAGAGATTTCTGAACCCTAAATTTTTTTCCCCCTTAATTTTCAATACACCTACTTGATGTCATTTACAGAGTTTACTTTATGTTTGTCATGTTTCGGGTCCTAGAAGAGCCGGTGATTTGATTTGGTACATATTCTTTTCTGAATGTTACACACATATATAACTCACATACACTCCACGACTCATTGAGAGTTCAAACTTACAACCTCTCCTCTGCATGAGATGCTTTGGTATCATTAAGGCTGTTAAGGCTTTAGAGATTTGGTATTTATCTCAGTTTTAATTTATCTGATGTAATACTTTTATATACAAGGATGAATAAGACGTGATCCTTAAACTACTCTTAATTTTACAGTTTATTGCAGCTTGTAAAAAACCACCAGTGTACTGTATCATAACAGAATACATGTCACAAGGAAATCTGAGGATGTACCTGAACAAAAAAGAGCCACACTCTCTTTCAACAGAAACTATACTAAGATTAGCTCTCGACATATCTAGGGGTATGGAGTACCTTCATTCACAAGGTGTGATTCACAGAGACCTCAAGTCAAATAACTTGCTTCTCAATGATGAGATGAGGGTTAAGGTTGCAGATTTTGGCACATCATGCCTTGAAACACGATGCCTGGAGAATAAAGGTAACATGGGGACATATCGTTGGATGGCCCCGGAGATGATCAAGGAAAAACCATATACTCGAAAAGTGGATGTTTATAGTTTTGGAATTGTGCTTTGGGAGCTCATGACCGCCTTACTTCCTTTCCAAGGAATGACCCCTGTGCAAGCTGCATTTGCTGTGTCTGAGAAGGTCAGATCACTACGCCTAAGTTTCTTTCTTCTTAGGGTTAAACTAAACATAGCTATTTTGAACTGCAATCTAATAACAATTTTAGTTCATAAACTCTAACATAGTACATTTTACTCCACTAAATTATGACAAAAACAAGTTATATAGTTAATTAATTACTATTAGTCACTTGATTGTCTTGTAATATCTAAACAAGTAGGATAATTGAAAAAAAAAAATATGTGGCCTTTAGGTGTTAATTTTAATTATAATATCGAATGTTTTCTTTATATCAAGTGCACAAAGTAAATTGTTGGGTTTCAAAGTCCAGAGCTCCACATACTAAAGTTCCAATTCAACTATAGGCCATTGCGGGAGTTGTATGTAGTTTCCTCATATGTTTTTACTCTTAAATATCCCCTCCCTGCCTTTTTCCCTTCTTGACTTTCTTTTGCCCGAATTATCGTTGATTTGTCTTGGTTTGAACTCAATTTAAATGCTAAGCATTTGAAACTTATCATGCTTAATGGTATAACATTTCTTTATTGTCAAAATGATTGGCTCGGCAAGGACTCCGTAATGGCATGAATTGTCGAAGGCATAGTCATCTTATGAATTTTCCTGCTTTGTAGCAATTTCACCAGTAAGTTAGGATTATTTAAATGATTCTTCGTTCTCAACACTAGGAATGGTTCAGGATTGAATTTTAGTTTTTCTGTATACATCTGATTCTGATGTGACTTTAATGCCAAGACGCAACTAGGCGTATAGTTAGTATAGAGTTACTTGGAGATATTTCTCATTTGGCTTCTGTGCCCTTGGTTAATCGGTGTCATAGTCTAGTTCTTCTATATTGTGTACATTTGTCATCCTTGTTGGAACCAACCTTTTTAACATGTAAATTTTCAATATTGCACATATGCTTATCAAAAGAAAGATATCTAGATATATATATATATATATATATATATATAGAAATTCCCAGGTATCTATTTCCAATAGTTTAGTATTTAGCTAAACATTAAGTCATTTGCTTCTCAATATAAGATCATTGGTCGATTTTTTTGTGAAATCTAGATGTGAGTGATGTTTACTTGGAATAGTATTAATCAATACACACACACACACACAAGTTTGTAGTGAATAATGCAGCTTAATTTTTATAATTTCATGTAATATGTGAAACGACATCTAATTACAAGTCTCTGCTGTGTCTTATCTCATCATATCTGATGTAATACATATAGGCGACTAGTTTTCAAAATAATGTCTTCCTCCATTAATTTTTAAATTTTGACTCTTGACTTCCTGAATTTATAAATTATGCCACTTTTTTTTTTTCCATACAATTTATGCAACTTGATCATTCTATTAGAAGAATATCGGTCCAACAATCTAATGGACCCGATGTAAATATTCGAACACTTTTGTATGTCTTGATTAATTCGAAGATTAGGGGAAGGGGGTTGAGGCTTATTTGTGTCCCTCTTCTCTTGTTTATAAAGAGGCATAAGACCATGTAAAGAGGCTCTAGTATATTGCTTTTAACAAACTTTTTATTGTCAAAGTTGTGTAAACTATCAAATAAAAATTACACAAGTCCAAAGTAACTTTGAGATATTTTGAGTTATACTATAAAAACAAAAGAAATTATACAAATGTCAATCTGGAAAGGATGCGAAACGCATGTTTCTCTATCCCTTCTTTGTGTAGTACTCTTCTGGTCCTAAATATAAAACCCACTTTATAATGCAAATTACATTATAAAATGAGTTTTATATTTAGAATCCGAGACTATTTTTCATAGTCTTTCATTAAAAAATGAGAAGAAAAATGTGGGGAGTTATTGCTGCAAAGAATTTTGATTTTCCTCATTTTGCTTTATCAAGAATAAGAACGTGTGTTAAATTGCCGAAATTTACATAAACTATTTGTCAATATAGAACTTAAAATGTGAAGAAATGGTGAGGGGTAAAATTAATAATAATAAATAAACAACTGTTATCTTGCATGAGGTCCTTCGCAAAATTTAGAGCATGATGAACATCGTCACCAACCCTAAAGCTCCTTCACAAGAGTCTAGATTAGTTACCTGTCTGATATCCTGGTTTTAATTTAGAACCAATCATCAGAAGGAAGAATAAATTACGCCTTATGAAACTGACTAGTTGGCTATCCTGGATTCCTCATGTTTCATATTAGGATTTTTTATGGTCCTGTGAGCTTTTTTCTGGGGGGAAAAAAAATTGAGAGGTAAGCAGCCCAACGTGTGATCTCCTACTTGTAGAAAAATATTAATACCACTAGATTGCAAGGCCATTATTGTCCAAACCTGTGAGCTAGACGTTGCTTTGGATCTCTATTTCAACTGCAGAACCTGGCAGGAGAAGTAGGGATAACTTTTGCAAGCCATATGTTAGTTCTTTTAACGGTGGGAAACAGTAACATGCTTATGTATATAAAAGAAAAGGTGGTAATAATAATGCTGCTCTTTTTGGTTAACTGATATATGGGGGGTGACTTATTTTAAGCAGAACCAAAGGCCACCATTGCCGGAAAGTTGTCAGCCGGCACTTGCACATCTGATAAAGCGTTGCTGGGCGGCAAATCCCTCGAAGCGGCCGGATTTCAGTGAGATTGTGTCTGTTTTGGAAAAGTATGATGAATGTGTCAAGGAAGGCCTACCTCTCACTCATTATTCAGCCTTCGTCACTAAAAATGTCATCATTCAACGCTTAAAAGGTTGTGTGTCCATGAGTTCCTCTGTACCTGTACATGCCTGATTTATCCGCTTCCATCTGTAAGCTACATATATATCACTTCAATCTGTATATCTTGTTCATTAGCTTGTACATGCTTCAATGTTTCTTCCAACTGTATTATGTAAATGCAACTTATAAGGCTTTTTTCTTTGATTTTCTTTTGGTCTTTCCGGTCAAAACTGACAAGAAATAACATCTCAATATCCTCAATGTGTTTCATCAATTTCCCATCCATAAAGCTAAGTGATACCCAAAATGACACCACAACGCGTCTCATGCCATAGCTATACCAACAAACAAGAATTGTCAAATCAGATAGAGGCCATAATATTTGGATGAGGCTATTAAAATAACTAGATACAGAAATCCCCCAATCAATAAATTCAAAACCAGGGGGTTCTCTGGGCTCCTATGTAAATATCAGACCGCTCCGTCATAATCATCAATTGTCTTTTTCATTCCATCCAACTGTGATATAACAAATTCCAGTTTCTTGAAGCAAATCTCATTGGCTATTCTTGAACCATAAAAGCACTTCTCAAATGGACGATACTCACAAGCACTTTTGATTTCATCACGCAATGCCACCTGGATGTCCTAAAAGATTTTTAGAAGGAAAAAAATGTTAAAAAGAACTACATACTGTTTGCATCCTTCGGTCAAACAAATGGAGTTGAAGCTTCATCAAAATTGGTTATAATGAGCCACAACCAGAGCATTGTCCATTTATTTTAATCTTCATTTCTACGATTTCTCCCCAGTTAGCTAAAGGAAGTTTTGCTAGGAATTTGAGGTAGTTGGTTGTCCATAGTCAGTGACAGAGCAAATAATGAATATAAAATCATTGTCAGAATGTGCAGCAACTAATTTTAACGAGCTGCCATTTAAAGACAACAGTCAGATCCTACAGTAGAAATGCCATAGAGGGGGAAAAAAAAAAATTAGAGAATTCAACAATTAGCCCGTAAAAATGGACACTAGCCTCCTATAACATATCTAGAAGGTTACTATTTCCAATGCTTTCCGCCATCATCAGTGTTCATCTTCATATTTTGTGAATTTTGAACATGAGAGGATCTTAATGGATAATTCTACTGCTTCACTGTATATGAATGTTCAGCATTTAAGGGAGGAAGGAGACAGAGACGAACACATGATTGATATTTGGAAAAGATGTGGGCAAACTTTTTTAGATGCTTGTTATTAAGTTTTGCAATTAAATCTTAACATGTGAAAAAGTCTTTATTACATGACCCAATCGTTCAATGCTAATTTGTGAAATACAATCTCTACTCATCATGTTTTTTCCTCCCAATACTTGTCATTTTGTTATTGGATAACTTGATTAAAAAGATGTAAGAAAAAAAGCTGCACCTAAGTTTTACATTCTACGTTTGTCAACAAATTGGATTTCCAAAAATGGAGAACAGAAGTACCTTGATTAATTGCATGAATTCCAGGCAGTGATTTTGGACTACATCTTTCCTAGGACCTGTAGAGCTTGCAAGCTCATCCATGACTCCTCCTGCTAACTCTAAAACCTTGACAATTCTCTACATATTACCACAAAATTATACATATCAATAATATGTTCACGGCAAATTGTGAGGATACTCCATTCCTTCAATGTTCTAAATGGTTTCAAATATCACCTTCTCCACATTCTGAAGTCGCTGCAATGAAGTTGTTTGGCCCTGTGAATCCATTGATGCTACACCTTTGAGACCTCTCACTCAAATCTGAGTAACCAACCAACAGTAAGCAATCAAGCCTACTTCCATGGAGACAAATGGATCACAATATGTAAAGAGGAAATTTAAAGAATCTAAGGACCCGTTAGTTGGGCGAAATCGCAGCACAGGAAATGGAAACCATCCTCGTTTGGTTGCACAAAAGGAGACAAAAGTTCCGAAGGTAGGGAAAATCGATTCCTTCAAGTGGACTAGAGATTCTTCCACCGAGGAAGGAAGAGAAAGATAAATTTACTGAACCACCCATGAAGAAGCAGTAAACAGGTTAACGAAGATAAATTTACTGAACCACCCATGAAGAAGCAGTAAACAGGTTAACGAAGAGGCATTTGTTCCAGATTTGCTCACAAGAAGTGAAACAGAATGAAAATTTATAGGCACACATTGGACATTAAAATAATTGCATATATTGATAGAGAGAACTTAAATATGCTCAGCATTTTCATAAACAGGATTATTTGCAAAGAAGCATAAGAGATTTGCGCAGCTGAAATCAGCAAATTATCCACTCTAACTCAAGCCAAAATCTTTGCTCCCCAAAAATATGCGGAAGACTTGATAAAAATAGAGATATAGGTGGATGGAATCTTAACCTTGCAGGCAAAAAATTTTCGTCCCGCACTGGTCTCTAACCCAACAAGTTTTCTATCGCACCGCTGTCATCTCCGACGCCGATTTCCTCTTCTTCGTCAAATTTCAGAAGACGGCAATGTTGTTGGACCGAACACCCTTACCCTTAGCTTTCCCTACTCGATCTTAACCAAATATTGGCCCTAGCCACCGATTTTCTCTCACTTCACCGCTTTCGCCGCTAGAAACCATTTGCTCTTCAACGTCAACCCACTCAGTCGCCGGCCACACTATCGCCCCCGGATACTGAATGGCATTAAGTTTAAGGGCATCCCCTGTAAAAATCAATATCAATGGGTGATATTTGCTTCCAGTGCCAACTGCTATGGACAGTCGAGATGGTTACCCGTTATAGCCACACGGTTCTGATTTAATAGTATTATTTTACTTTTTAATTTTGAAGTGCTTAATAGTACTCGGGTAAATTGCACTCTAAAATCAGTTTTATATTTAGAATAGAAGGAGTATATATAATTACTATAAGGTAGTTGGAGGGTCAAGTTTGGCATATTAGTCTATTTTTCCTCTCATTATTTTGAGAAATTTGGTTAAAAGTCTCTGCTTCAAAACTTAATTAGCTAAAAAGACTTAAATTTTAGTAAGTACAATTATGATTCGTAAGTGTAATAATATATCTTCTTCCAACATATCATCAATAATGTGCAATAATCATTAATACGGAAGCCCTTTGCACACAGTGAAAAATATGTTGCATATAGCGAAAGACAAAGAACAAAAAACCAAACCAAACCAGTTGATTCAATTGAAAAACCGGGGAATCGGCCAGTTGTCCAATTTGGTTTGAGGTTTGAGTGCTGAACCGGTGTGAAATTAAACAAGTATCAATCCGGTCAAACCAATATGAACCGACGAAAAGCAGTAAAAACTAGTGTAAACTGATTTGAACGATTATGTTGCTATTAGTTCTATTTTTCCTCAGTCAGCTCCTATATCTCAGTCATTGTAAATTTGAATGAATTTTAATGATAATTTTAGCATCAATAATTATTAATTTTAGTTACTGAGTAATTGTAAAAATAAACATTCTCAATGTTGTTATATTTTGTTATTATTACAATTAAACTATTATTGTATTTTCTTGTATTTTGTTATTAGTGATTATTAATGTTAGTATTTTGTTATTTTTAATTAAATTATATTATTTTAATATAACCGGTTTGATCCTGAGTTAATCTTGATCTAATCCACTGACGCTTAAATCACTACCTGAACCAATTCAGCATGGAGTCTGATTTTTCATTTCTTGATGAAAGATATGTTACATTCACGGATCATAGTAGCATCCACTCAAATTTAGGTCCTTTTAACCAATTAAATTTTCAAACAAGAATTTTTTTAACCAAATTTTCCTATTATTTTTTGAAATTATTTCTATTAATTATAATGTTAAGAAAGGGATTAAGAAGATGGGGGAATGTCGGGTGAAAATGGGACAAGTCCAGTCAGTTTATTGTGCAGTTGGCTTATGGGGTGATTTCCCATCAAAACACTTATAGATATACTCCTCCAATATTTAATATAAGACTTATTTAACTAATTTGATTAAATTAAAGAAGTTAGGTAAGTTAGTTAATTGTAAGAAATATGACATATTTTTTCTAAAACACTATAATCATCTTCTTTAATATCCTCTCTCCCTTTTCTACTTGATTATGGTTGAGGAAGTATCCATAAGGATAATTTAAAAAAAAACTGATAAATATGAAAAATAGATTCTATATTTAAAACCAAAATCAACTCACCAATTAAGTTCTATATTAAGAACAGGAAGAGTACTTTTTGGAGAAGATGTAGAAGCTTCCAGTCCCTTCATGACGTAAAGCTAATAAGCTATGCTCTAGTTAGCATCTCAAAGATGCTTGCTCACTAATGAAGTCCGTTACTAGAGATGTTTCAAAAAACATGATTCACCTCCTCCAAGATTGTGGCAGCAGATAACTTGACCAAAAGGGCCCTTTTGTCCCTAGGAGGGTTCCGTGTGACCGGCAGTCCTCCAAATGACTTACCCATGATTGTTTAGATGGATCAAGCTAATTCTTGCAATGGGTACTTAGGGTATTAGCTTAGGCTTCCTCTTGTTATCCAAAAAGAAAAAACAAAAAAAGTTTGCATTAAGGATAGATTATTTTCTTTTCTTGCTTCAACATTTGAATACTAAACATTAATTGTTAATTTTCATAAAATATCAGGCAGTAATTTTTTTAATTAGGTTGGAGAAAAATAATACTTTAATTGTTAATTTTCATAAAATGAATTTATTATTTACATATTATAAGGTAAAAATTTAAAGATTTAGATGGCTCAAATTTCACCACAACTATTACGAGGATCATGATGCCATTACATTTAATTTAATTTAAATAAGGACATTTTTGGGACAAATTTTGCAATTCGCGACAAATTCAACTAATTTGAATTTAACTTTCTAGTACATATGAAGTAGTTTTTTTATATATAAAGACATATATAATTTTATTAGAGACAATCTTATTTGAAGTACTATGAAGTAATAAATTTGAACACTTATCTTCAAACGTCAAAATTATAGATGATCATTGAGCCATCAGTATTATGGACTTATGAAGTTATTTATTTTATGTTTTCAAAAAACAAAGAGTATAAAACAAGTTAGCCCAATAATCAACTATGTATACAATCCATACATGTGTTTGGTTTATAGTTTGATAATAATACATCTGCCAAATTGACGTTATTGCAAATGTAGTTTGGATGATACAAATCAAAAGTATTTTTAACTATATAATTATTAACAACTCTGTGTTAAAATCATTATTACAATTTTTATAAAACTTGATTATTGAAACTATGGTTCAATACGAGTGAATTGGGTATTTACAAATTTTTATATTTCTAAACACTTTTTAGATTGAAATAGGGTATAGCTAATTATTTATACAAATCCAAATCATAATAACTTGTTTGTAAAAGTTATTAAATTTTATTGAGTTAAGGTGCAAATTTCTCCTAAAAGTTTTCATTTAAGAGTGTTGGGCATTCAGAAGTTTTTCTGGTTGTAAATTTGCTCCGAAAGTTTAAAATCATAGCAAATTTTTTTCTCTTATCGTTGAAAATGTTAATGGTCAATATCACTAGTTTAACAATTAATGTTACTCTTTTAATGGTATAATATTACTATGATTTTAAATTTTCAAGACAAACACTACTACAAAAAAAATAAGTTGTAGCCGTTATTTTTTTTAATTTTATAGTGTTTTTAAAACACTACATATGCATCTGCTATAGAAGGTACAAAAACAAAGCTGTAGTGCTTTGAAAAGTGCTAAAACATATATACATATATATATATATTTAAAAAAATTAATAATATTTCACAGGATTCCTAGAGAAAGCACTATAGAAAGCTAAACATTCTGTAGTGAAAGATAATCTTTCTCCACAACATGTCTATTTATTTTAAGAAAAAACAAATATATGCCATAGCGCTTTCACAAAACATGTCTTTTTTCAGGGGGAAAAAAATCTTTTTTTTTGTTTATAATATCTTAGAACTCAACTTACAACAATTTCACTTACAATTTTTACTGTTACCAGTAAAATTCAAACAACATACCAATTAACTTACTATAAACACACAAACTTATCTCTCTATTATATAATTACAACAATTTCAATGAAATCAATTTATTATAAATTTGTAATAAAAAAACCTTTTAGGTGCCCAGTGTTCTTAAATACATATTTTGAGAACAAATTTACACTGTAACCCATTTTTGTCATAAGCACAAAGTATAGGTGCAAGTTTGAAATCAATTTCTAGAAGATTATTTTGTGAACACGACAATACTTGAAATTCATATTTCATCACAAAATAACATATAAGAGTAATATGCTAGGAATGAAAGAAGATTAGGGATAGAGAACATGCAAATGATAATTTATACTAGTTTAGCTTTGTCCATTTAAATTTACGCCCCATCCCTCAAAACTTTTTAAGATTTAATTCACTAACTCCTACAAGTTTAAATCATGTACTTATGAAAACCATTACAATTCTTCCTCTTTACAATGAGTACACCAAAATATACCACACTCTCAATTTTCTGTTTCAAGGGATACCTCACCCTATCTTTAAATTGAGGAGTACTCTCCCCAAGTGCAAAATGAGTACAGTCAATCAAACTAGAGTTTTAGGATAAATAATGAACAAAACTTATCACGCTGAAGCTATTTACAAAAAAAAAAAGGGTTTAAGGGATTTATTGTAAAGTTTCAAAAATTATAGAAGTTATTTGACTTAAAGCACCCGAAGGTTATATATAATTTAGCTTTTTTTCAAATATAAGTTCTCTTGCCATGATGAATTAAATCGCACTTATAATCAGAGACGGTTTGGGTGTTCCTTGTGCTCCGTTTGGTAGGGAAGAAAAATTAGGAGGAGAGAAAATGGGAGGAGAAAAAATAGAGATAAGAGAAAACCGAAAAGAAAATATTATTGCCTTTCTTGTTTGTATGAAGGAGAGTAAATAGATAGGAAAGAAAATAAGCAAATATATAATGACACAGTTTGGGTGTTCCTTAAGGTGATGAGCACTCGAATGGATCTTGAAAATCTCATTTGGATGATCCAAATTCAAATTTTTTAATTAATTATTTTAAATAAAAAATAGTTTTTAAAAAAAGTTAGTTAAAAAATTATTTTTATTTTAGATTTTATATCTATTAAAATAATTATTTTAAAAAAATTAAAATAAAAAAATCAAATTGGGATCGTTCAAATTTGATTTGGATAAATGATGATCTAAATCAGTTTAAATCACAACTCATTCCCTTATAATCTAATTCAATGCCACCTCCTCCTTCCATTCTGCGCTCGCTCGTTCGTTCAAATAATCAGATGTTGTTGCTGAAGATGTTAATATTTTGTGGTATTGACTTTTTTTTTCAGATTTTTATTTATGTATTTCAGACAATATTCTGTTTTTTTCCTGACAACAAATATTTCTTCCTTTTCAAGCACGGTACTATAATCTCCGTTTTGTAAAAATAATAATTATATTGTCTCTTTTTATTTTAATTTATGCATTGTTTTTAATTTTAAAAAAGGAAAAATTCCTTTTAAAGAGCCCTGAACATATGAAATCTTAATTTAGGCACTTAACACTTAAGAAAGGAAGTAAGGCCTAAACTAGCATTTTGAAAATGTTGCGAAATTACCTATATGTCTACTGTGAATAAATGACATTAATGTAACTA